TTGGCGGGGGAGGAACTTGTTGCGAAGCAGATGCTCCGTTTTGCTGTTGTAACCTTACGATTAACTCTGCTTGTTCATTCTCAACACAGCTGGCTGCTCAATAATTCCTGCATTCAGAATGCTCCAATCTCTAGCGGAATTCTTAACACCGGCGCTCCCCGGCGATGTATTCTGTTCTCTGACTCTTTCGACTATCGCCAACATTCGTGCCCCTGTCGGACTCTGTCCTAGTTGGAACTCTTCCACTACATCTGGTTGATCATCTAACCACCCAGTGGCCTCTGCTGATTTAAAACAGTATCAAGAAGCATCTATGTAGTTCATTTCCTCGAGCTTCAATCTTAGCTCAGCAGCAGAACTGCTGTCTTCGTCGGGGAGAAGGACTCGGGCCGAGGCTGCTGCTACTTTTGGCTTCACTATGTTGCTCCAACATGCTGCTCCAGTAAGCTTCTTCCATCATAGAGAGCCAAAGAGAGGAGGTGCCGAGAGGAGACATTGATTTGGTGGTTGTTGTTGGTAAGGACTTGAGCCTGCGGAAGCGAGTCTCGAGGTGAGACGGAAGAACAGAGTCGGAAGGGAAACCGGTAGACGGAGCCCGGAGCAGGACGGTGATTGATGATCGGAACAACGTCGAAGGAGACAGTTCCCATGTAGAAGAGCATGCCGGAGATGTAAAGAAGCGGAGCGAAGAGGAAGATGCCTTGTCTGCGGAGGAGGACTTTGGAGTCCGGAGCCGATGATTTGGTTCGGGCCGGGCTAGTTGGGTGTGAAGGAGTAACAGTAGCAGGTGGAGGAGGATCCAGGAGGTGGAAGCGAGTGAACCCACGTAACCCGCCTGGTCGAGAGCGAGTTCGGTGACTCGACTCATTGTTGAAATAACGAGGTCGCATCGAAACCCACATGTGAAGAGGTTGTCGCATGGATCGAGAGTGAAGTCCCATGAGCTCAGACACGAACCGGGTCTGACTGAGTTAGGATCGAGTCCGTTCTTGAACTCTCTCAATGCCTCTGTGTCTTGCCAAAAAGTGATGGAATTGGCTTCGAAGAAGGAGTCTTTCGACATGGGTTGCTCAGAATAAAGGTGAATTGAGTGGATGAAGAGAAGAACAGTGTGTTAGAGAGAGAAGAGAGAATGGCGTCTATGTGTGGCTGTGTTGGGTTTGTCCGGCGGGCGGCCAAGGCGAGATTGCCGCCCGCCGGTGGAACGAAAATATTATGTTCTTAACCTAGCTCTGATACCATGTAAAATTCAATGTATAAAGAGAGAAATACAGGGAAAATGAATTATGTATTGATTGATGTGTTTCTGTATTACAAATGAGGGGTTCCTTATATAGATGTAGGTGTAGGGAGTAGGTGGTGGTAGGTGAGTGTAGTAGGTGAGTGTAGTAGGTGAGTGTGTGGTAGGTGATGGTAAGTGTGTGGTAGGTGATGGTAAATTATACAATGTACATTAACACAGAGAATTAAATAGAAATTGGAAGAAATAAATATGAACACAAGTGAGAAAGAAGAATGGAAGTTTGAATTGAAGAACATACATTGGCCTAATTTGAACCCAAAAGAAGTTCCTCTGTCACGAGTTGAATCGAAATACGCCCTGTCCTGAACACAAACACTGTAATGGACTGAAACAAAAAACACCCAATACAATTTTAGTAATAATTCTTCATTTTTGAAGAAAAGAAAGCCTCTATTGGCACAATTTAGCAAACAGTTGGAGGCAACTAGGAGAAGAAGAAAAGGGTAAAAATTTCAAATTCGTACCTTGGACTTCGTCACCCACACATGGAGTTTTCCATGAAGTTCCCCTCTTGAGAATTTGTTTCTTCAAGGCTTGGGTTCCAATTTGGGTCTCCATTAAACCAGAAAACTCTGTTTCTGCGGACTCTAAGAAGGGTTTTGGCAGAGAGAGCGCCATTTAGTAGAGAGAGAGAGAGAGAGAGAGAGATTACTCTACAGTTTAGGGGTATATATGTGTACATAGATATAGATAGGTGGATAGATATGTAGATGAGAGAGAGAATTTTCAGAGTTGAAGGATAAGCCGTTAGTTTCCCTCCTTTCAGTTGAGATTTTTTTTGGACTAACTAGGTGCTGAGTTGATTTGATGAGTTGACTGGCGGGTCAAGTCACAACCCGTTGGATTGGAGATTTTTCTTTCTGAGTATTGATTTTTTTTTTTTTTCTTTCTTTCTTCTCTAGCTTTAATTATGGATTGTCTTTGTGTATGCCAAGGCTATTTTTGGTTGATAGATTTTGAAAACAATTTGAAAAAAGAAATATGAAAGATGTGTAAAACATAAGTCATAGTTATATTTCATTCACATTATATATATATATATATATATTTTTAAATCTTTTCTCAAATTTATAAACTAAATACACCTTAAAAACCTTCTCCATTATGGAGAGGATATCAAATGTACAGAGTGAGAGATGATGAATGTTTATAAAATTAATGGTTTGTTTGTTTTCTGTAAAAATATATTTTTTATAAATATACATTAAATAATTAATTGTATTTTTGAAATTAATGTACTAATAGTTATATTTGTGTAAAGGTATGAGTGGCGTCATGGTAGAGGTGGAGGTGTTATCCACAATCGAAAGAAAAAAAATTTGAAATGTGAAAAACAAATTTTAGAATTTGAAATACAGAAAGCAAGGGAAAAAAAAAAGAAAAAAAAGAAGAAGAATCGTTACAACAGATTTGCAAAAATTGAAAAAAATGTAATCAACCAAATCGCTGTCTCTTTAAGATAGATTTGTCTCTGCGGGATGCTTTTTGGAGTTACCAAGCACGCCCAACAGTTTGGACTCCTGATCTCCTGATCTAGTCTCACTAGTGTAATGTAAAAAGAAAAACTAGAGTCCAAATATGGTAACTTTTATAGAAAATCCATTTTATTGCAAAATATTGCCAGAAATGGATGGCATCACAAGATTTCAGAGTCACCATCTAATCTTTTGGAGAAATTGGGAAACCTGTGACTCATGTCAAAAGCCACCGTCTGTCATAACTAAAATGTCTCTGCTGGGGAACATATGAATGAAAAGGGAAGGTCATTAATTGAGCACGCCACTCACTCGATTGAAGATCAGCTTTTACTAAGTCATAAAGTGGTTTTTATAATCAATGTATATCCATGTTCTAATTTATTAATAATGCTGCCATTACTATTTGAGGTATTCAAATATATATTGTGTCGTAAATTTTGGTTATGCTCTGATTTCATGCACTTTTGAAAAATAGTTTTCTTGAATAAAATTTGCAGCATAAGGATAATTTACACTTCCAAAATAAATAACACAACCTTCATCCACTAGCATTCAAACAAACATCTCACTTAAGCACTTAGCCTCTTGTTGTAGCAACATATATGGTAAGGAACACGTACATACAGTATGCTAAAGCTCAAAATGCTCATCTAGTACTCCAAGGCGAGTTCACAAGATATATACAAATATGTACAAATATACTTGATCCTATATGCAAGTTTCAAATGCAATATATACAGAATGTGTATCTAGGAGTCTGGATTACTAAAATGTAGCATGAGTATCATCACAATACATAGATTTTCACGTATTCATCTTTGAAGACAACACATCATATTAGAATGGATGATCTAGACCCAAATGCATGAAAAAGAGGATGCAATATATAGGCATGATAAAAAAAGCATGATGCAATACCGAAAGCAGATAAATAAAAGAGTTAGAAAGACATGGGATTGGAAGATTATTACAACAATTTGAATAAAAATAAGAGAGTGGGGAACATAGATTATTATAATAAAGAATTGATCCTGCCTAGTTACTGCCGAATCCAACAAATCACACTAAATAATGAAAAGAAACAATGTAGAGGGGCTCCAGAACTGCTCAGGGGAGCATCTCTTAAAGACTATCTATTTTTTTCTTAGGAGAGGGGGGAGAGGGATGATCGGCTAGACACTGAGTGAGCCAGCCAAAGTAGAAGTGAGCTGGTCGAATTCCCTTTCCAACTGGGGATTAGGTTAGTGCAGAATCTCAGGACAATGGCTAGAGGGAGGCTTTTTGGGTGGTTCTCACACCTTTCACCCCCTCTGTTGAAAGGAATCACTTGGAGATGAGATAGATGGGTTCGGGCCCTCAACAAAAACATAAACAGATATATACAACAAATATTTTATGCACAATAACAAATTAAATGGATCGAAACCAAAACAAATTAAAGCCCAAGAAATAGATAGGAACTTACATCTTCTCTTTGTGAATGAGGGCAAGTTAATACCCAAATCTATGCTATTAAGTGGAGAGCGTAGATTAATGGAAATCATTTCTTAGTGGAAGCTTAGCCTAACAAAGCAAGAGATTCGTCAAATTCATTGAAACCCCTCATCTAGTCATGGAACAAGAGTGATAACACCCATTTCTATGCTCATAAATGATTGAGAAGGGAGGTTTCAACTTCCTTTGACCCCAAATCTCTTGTTTTACTTCCAAAATACTCAATGAAAAGAAAAAGAACAACACTTGTCATCACCAAATCCCATGGATCACTCAGGTAGCCTCATGAAACAACCGTTAACACTCATTTTCATTGAGCCAAGGTTCGAAACACATTGGTTGACATGCTTGAGAGATAAAATAGGTGAAGATGGGTAGTGTAAAATGGAGAAGAAGAGAGTTATGCTACTTATTGAACTTGTGGATGGATGGCTACAATTACTCCCAAGCACATCCACAAGGGTCCAAAATATATAAGAGCTACATAGTTAAAGATATGAAAAGCAAAGAAACAAAAAAAAAAATAGCTATCAACTAAATGGATGGGTGGTTAAGGTTACTCCCTCCACAACCATGAGGACTTACAACAATCACATAATGACAACAAAGCTTAGAACATCAGAAATGGAGATAGAAAAGTGACTTAGGTTGTGAGCAAATCACCTCTTAAGATGATATGCAACTTTAATTCACAAACTGCCTTTTTAACACCTTTAATTCACCTTGGATAGATCATTTAATGTCCAAGAGTCTTAGCAAGGTGCTTAGGATCAAGCTTTCATGGAGTTCTGATGTCCAAAGTTAGGAAGGTGGTGGGTAGGAGGTGTGGTTAAGAGAAGAAAGAGGCAAGAGGCTTTTAGAACCTTAGGCAAAAGTTTCTCAACCCTTGGAAAGAGTTGTCAAGCTCTTATATATATGGCCTAGGTCACAAATATCTGAGATATTTGTGGTAGGTAAGCCAAACAAGTTAAAATTCCCGAAAATGTTTTGTACCTGGAGCATTTAGTCGCTCGAGCTTTTTGGCGATCGCCCAAGTGCTTTTGTGGTCGGCCATCAAATGGTATCCGGCCAACGGGCACATCATCAAATCAACAAGAGCAGGCTAGCTTGAATTGAAGAGAGAAATAGGTATTTCAAAGGATTTTACCCTTTTCATTCACTTCCACTATATTCTTTTCTCGGTTTGTTTAAAAGAATGCCATGTTTAGGATTCTGCAAATATGAGCCTAAGAACATTATGGTAACGTCTGGAGTTGCACTTACTAAAACTTGTTTTGAAAGAGATTCCATTTTGGTCAAAAAACATTTCGTCCAAAATAGGTCTTTAGAGGGTTTAAAGCTTAATCCGCGGAACTCCTACTGTGAAACTTGCATAGATTAACACCTTTCGTTTTCATCATCAAGAGCTAAAAAGGGAATGCCCAAGTCTCAAGGCTAGTAACAAATGTCAAACCCAAAGATGACCCTTTTTGACATGGTCGTAAAACTTGGCCAAACAAACAAAATGTAGATAAAACTTGGTTGAACCCGAGGGTTGCTTTTGTATCCTTTTGCAAGGAATCAAATCAGCATAGTTCAGAGGTAGAATGCAAATGTTATGCTTGAAACATATTTTAAAAGGTAGGCTTAAACGGCACGTGCTGCTATAATTTGTTAATTGGGCTTACGTGTACCACACTGCCAAAGTTTGATGATGCGAACACCCCAGAAAGTGACCAAGTGGAAAAATAGATAAAGCTGCAATGATGGCAAATGAAAGAGATGAACCTCATGCAAATGACATACAAAGCAAGCCAATAACTATGAAAAATGTGAAGAATGATGCGCGACACAAACAAGCATGTAATGTATGAAAAAAATATAACACTTATTCGTACCGTGACATGAGAGGGAAGAAAAAAAGGATGGCTACAACCAAAGCTGCATGTAACCAGCAGTCACAGCAATAACAAACTCCACAACACTCTTTAAACATGTTGCGACATAGAGGAAGAAAATATGGTGTTAACTGCCAGCCCGTAGGGGGTGGTATTAATCGGAGGGTGGTGTTAATCACTAACCTGTGCGTGGGGTGGCATTAATTGAAGGTAGTGTTAACCGCCAACCAACGCATGGGACGGTATTAACTGATGGTGGCGTTAACTACCTGCCCCACAAGGAACGGTATTAACTGAAGATGGTGTTAACCGCCAGCCCGCGCATATGACTATATTAACCGAGGGTTGTGTTAACCGCTTTGCCGTGTAGGAGACAGTATTAACCAAGGGGTGGTGTTAACTGCCTATCCCACAGGGGACGGTATTAACCGAAGGGTGGTGTTAACCGTCTACCCTGCAGGGGATGGTATTAACCAGAGGGTGGTGTTAACCACCTGACCCATAAGGGACGATATTAACCGGAGGGTGGTGTTAATAACTAAAGGGTGGTGTAAACCACCAACTCGCATAGAGGGTTGTATTAATCAAAGGTGGTGCTAACCGTCTACCCCGCAGGGAATAGTATTAACTAAATGGTGGTGTTAATCATCTGCCCCATAGGGGATGGTATTAACCGGAGGGTCATGTTAACTGTCAGCCTACACATGGGGTGGTTGCAGACACTCCATTTTTGACCGTCCTTAAGACTTGGACGTCATCGCTTGAATACTCGATGATTATCCATCTTTGTGTTCGTTTTGAACGCCCGAAGTTCTTGGCGGAGTGCCTTGCCTTTGAGCCTTTGAAACTTGTTTGTTTTGTGCTTAGTTGTGGACCAAATGCTTGTTT